CCCTGTCCCAGTGAGGCGACCTCGCCGTGGCCAGAGCCCTGCCTTTGCCGGCTCAGCACCCGCAGCCCCAGCCTCACCATGCTGTTCAGTGAGCAGGAGGGCTGACAGGTCCTCTTGATGCATGTGTGAGCTTCTTTGGGTTAGACTGTGCAGTGTTGGGTGCTCTGGTTTTTCTCGCAGCAGCAGGCCAGGTATTTGCTGTATATGTGAAAGGACTCCTGAGTGTTGAAAGTGGACTGGTTCCCATGGGCCTGTCCTCATTGAGGTTGAACCTCCTTGGGTCAAGGGACGTGGGCCCATCGTAAGCGGCGACGGTGAAGAAAGAGGATACCGGAGACCAGGCTGGTAGTGCAGATCTACTTTATTGCGGAAGTATTAGGCATTTTATAGGGCAGGCTAGAGGCGTGGCAATGGAGGCGGGTTAGGGGTGTAGTTTGGAGGCGGTAGTTTTGGCTGGGGGCTTTGTGGAAGCAAAAGGTCAGAGCGGGACAACTTAGGTGGAGTGTTTACTCGGTTTGCCGAGGAGTCTGAGTTTGCTCAGACTCGCTTTTCCACCACAGCCATCAACCAGACCTCTGGACCTCTTTTTCCCACAAACTCCCCCTCTTTTTTTATAAAAGCCAATTGAATTGAGGCCATCATAGCCTGTTTACAGGTTATTAGTTGTAAATGGGTACATAATATACGAATTGCGATTATAACAAGGAGTCCTAAAAGTCCCAAGAATCTAAAGGTAAGCAAATTGGCTGGTGAGAATAGGCGCCGTAGGTTATGTAGAAGATCAGAGAGGACAGTGTCTGTTAAAATAGGCACTTGGATAGAGTTTATAGTTTGTATTTGTTTAGTCAGCCAAAGGGAGAGGTTGAAGTAGGTGTTGTTATAAGGGCCAAGGATCCACTCACAGAGCGAAAGACGAGCAGAAGAGAGGTTGGCTGGTTTTGGCGTAACGCAAAGTAAGGTCGATGAAAAGCGTTGGTCACAGGCAGTGGTAGCAACGTGTCAGAGGTCTTGAATTTTATTGTCGATGAGGTCAAGCTGTTGTTGGAGATTAAGCAGAGCCATATGAGTATAGGCGTTAAGTTGTTGTTGTACTCGGAACGTTTCAGCGGCAGTATGGGAAAGGTTATTAAGTCCCTGAGCGGTCACGGTGGATTGGGTGAGTGCGACGGCTGCTGTGGCTCTTGCTGCTGTAGCTGTAATAAAAGCAATCACAAGGGTAATAATAATAGCAGAGGCTCCAAAATCTCTCTTATGTATCTGTAGGGAGGTGGAAGAAAGCTGGATAGGAAATGATGGAGCTACCCAATCAGAGATATTAATTGGCACCCAAAGGACAGAAGGGGTGTGAAGGATGAGCATATATGAAGGGGTTTCATTCCAGCAGTTGGATAAGTAACAGGTACTTGTCGAAGAGCAGTTAAAAGAGGCACCTGTGGGCAAGAGAAGTAAAAAAGGGGGGGCAACACAGGCTGTTGAAAAATATGAATAGTTTTTTTATAAGTGAGGTTAACTAAGGGTGACCAGGAGATGTCATTTGGGGGCAAGCTCTGTGAGCAGAGTGAATTGATAGTTGCTATTTGGGTAAGACCACCGGTGCACACTGAGGTGATACCACCAGAGCCACTGGTGGCGTTGAGGAGGCTAGGGTTGGGAATGGAATAAGTGCCATTAGTGATAGAGGTATTGCCCATGAGCATCAACGGAAGGAGATCAAGGCATCTGAAGGTTTTACATAACTGATGGGAGAAGATAGAGCGTCTCCCTGTAAAGGAAACTGGGTTACGTTGACGGCTGTGGTTGGTCGGACTCTTGGCTGTCATCGAGGGTCAGTTGTTGTATCTCTGAAGTTGGCGGCTGTGGCTGGTCGGCCATCTCACGCAGGAACCCACACTGGATGGGGTCCTGTCTCTGGAAAGACACAAGCAAAACCTCAGCCTTGGGTTAAGAGTGGGGCTGGGGGCTGCCATGATTGGGTCATGGGATCCTTCCAGCACACAAGGGGAAGTGGTGTTGGAGGGGCCAGTAATGGGCCCCAAAGTTTATGGGCCGGGGGAAAGACCTTCGTCAAAAGTTAGAAGATTTATTGTTACAAGGGCTTTTGTTAACAATTCATCTGGTGTGCTTTGGGGGTGTAATTTTTTTTTTTTTTTTTAATAAAGTTTTGAGTGTTTGGTGAGTTCTTTCTATGATAGCCTGTCCTTGAGGGTTGTAGGGAATGCTGTGATGTACGGTTATACTGTACTTGGCACATGTGTTTTTAGAAGTTTGGCTAGTGTAGCATGGCCCATTGTCTGTTTTTAGGTCCCAAGGGACCCCTAGCATGAGAATAGCCTTTTTTTTAGAGCACGTGAGGCATGTTGTGCCATTTTTCCCGTCATGGCTATAGCCATGGTAGCTCTAGAGAACATATCTTTAGTTATATGAATGTATTTTAATTTACCAAATGGGGGAAAATGAGTGATATCAATTTGTCATCTGGCATTAGGACAAAGTCCTCGGGGGTTTATTTTCTGAGGTTGAAGTGGGCCAAGTGGGAGAAAGGGGGCACACGTGGAGCAACTACGGACCAGATGTTTACATGTAGTTTAGGGACCTCTGGGAGAAGCTGATGAATAGCTTTGGCTGATAGGTGAAATCTGGAATGAAGTGTTTTTCCTTGCAAGAGTGGGTCAGACAGGGCTATTTGTCTAGCTTGAATAGAGACTAGGCTGTCAGCTAGTTGTTTTTTTTTGGCAAGGGGACCAGGAAGTCTCGTATGGGATCTGAGGTGTTGTATATACCAAGGGTGTTTTTTATGTTGAAGGGTGTTTTGTAAGGTTTTTAGGGCTTTATCTAATATGTTATCTTTTTGTTTTAAGATGGCATGTGGGATGAGATGGCATATCTGTACTACATATTAGCTATCTGAGAAAATGTTAATAGAGCAGTCTGGGCAGTGTTGTAAAACCTGTAACACTGTGAGACGTTTAGCCACTTGGACAGAAAAATTATGTCTAGTAAGTTGTATTTTTGGGTAGTTACAGTCATGAGGATGATGAATTATAATAGTATATGTTGTTTTGGAAGCATCAGTGAAAGCCACTCTATTGTGAGGTATAGGGGTTGAGGAAGGAAAATGAGACGGCCTCATGAGTGGTAACTGATGGAGGCCTTGAAGGGTAGGGCTGGAAGGGTAATGATTGGAGGTTTGGCCAGGATAATGTAATAATAGGGTCTGAAGGTCTAAATTACGTGGCAAAAGAGCTCCAATTTGATTATTAGTAAGAGGGAGGATAATGGTGTCTGGTTTGTGTTTATAATAAAGTATAGATAACTTTTTAAATTGTATTTTTAAGTGGCAAATAGCAGTTAAAAGCGGAGGGATTTTTGAGAGGGAGGAGTAGGCAACATGGGCCCACATAAGGGGACCTTGTTGCCAGAGGACTCCCATGGGCATGGATGGCGTAGTTAGAACAATAGCCAACAGTGGTTGTTTAGGGTTATATCTCATTATTTGTGTTTGTTGTATGGCCAGTTTAACGTAATCTAAGGTTTGTTGAGCTTGTGGAGAAAGGACTCGAGGGGATGTGGGGTATAGATCTCCTTGTAAGAGATCAAATAGCAGGCATAATCAGTCGGATGACAGTGTCATTGCTGGGCGAAGCCAATTAATGACCCCACATAATTGTTGTAGCTCTGTTAGGGAGTAGGATGAGTGTCTTTTAATTTTTTGGGCTATGGGAGTAATTTTATCAGAAATGTGGTGACCCAGATAAATGTATGGTGGCTTGATTTGAATTTTATCTGGGGCAATTTGAAGTCCTATAGTTTTTAGGTTAGTTAACAATTGTTGTAGTCCTAGTTGTAACTGGTGGGAATCGATATGAGATAATAAGATATCATCCATATAATGGATGCATTGATAAAACTCTCGGAGGGGTTTAATGGCATGATTTATATATATTTGGCATATAGTGGGACTATTTATTATTCCTTTGGGAAGAACTTTTTAATGGTATCTTTTAGTGGGGCCTTGATGATTGGTCACAGGGATGGAAAATGCAAATCCAGGTCTATCTTTTTTATGTAAGGGAATAGAGAAGAAAAAATCTTTTATATCTATAATAACTGTATGATTGTCTTTTGGTATCGCGGTGGGTGAGGGCAATCTAGGGTGGAGTGTTCCCATTTTAATTATATGTTTATTTTTCTCAGATCATGGAGTAAATGGTATTTATTTTTATCTTTTTTGTGAATAACAAATATTGGGGTGTTTTATGGACTATCAGAGGGTTTTATATGATCCTGGGAGAGTTGTTTTGTAATAAGTTGGTTAAGTGCAATTAATTTTTGGGACGGTAAGGGCCATTGGTCCACCCACATAGGTTTATCAGTGTCTCAAGTTAACTGTATGGGCTGTGGTTTAATCACTGGAGCAGTGGCCCCTATTGGGGGGGAGCGGTTTAGTAGTTAATTTAACATCTAATTGTGATAAAATATCTTGTCCCCAAAGGACTTGGGGTAAGCCTTGTAGGAACAATGGTTGACAGTGTCCTGAATGTCTTTTTTGGTCTTTTTATCTTAACAGAGTGGCTGTTTGGAGTGACATTTGTTGGCCTGTGGCTCCTTGTATAAAGGGCCCTGGAATAGTTGTCTGAAATTTACTACATGGGTCCACTGGGAGGCAGGAATGTTTAGCTCCTGAATCTATAAGGCCGGAGATGGACATTTGTTTTACCTCCAGAGTTAACAGTGCCTTGTTTTGAGTGATGGGCACAGTCCATAGGATCTGTGAGGTAGTTTTTATTTTTTTCTTTTGTTGTTGGGCTGAGGGTTGCCCCTTTTGGAGTTTAAAGGTTTTCCTTTTTCATCAGTTTTTGATCGGCATTCTTTTGCCCAATGATATCTTTTCTGACATTTAGGACAAGGGGTAGGTGGTTTTGTTTTAATGTTTGAAGACTCTTGTCCTTTTTTTAGGGCATTGTTTAGCAAAATGTCCAGGCGCTTTACAATTGAAGCATAAAGCTAAAGTGTTATTCAATTGTAAAGCATTGGCAAGCGCTGTCGCTAATGCTTGAGCTCCTTGTGTATTGACTTTTTTATATGCTAGTATCTAACGATCTAGATCTTTATTTTTTATACGGGCTATTAAGGTTTTATATGTAGGAATAACCCCTTTAAAGATAAGTTGTTTGGCCAGGGCTTTGGCGGCCTCTGGATGATCAACTTTTCTTTTACAAGATTTTATAACCTTGGAGACAAAAGAGGCAAAATCCTCATTGGCTCCCTGAATAAGCTTATTAATTGGGATAGTTGGACCAGCATGGCAATGAGTAAATGTTTTTAAGGCTATCATTTTTACTTGATCAAAATATTGAGGTGGACCTTGTGCCTGTACAGCAGGAGAGGCATATACGCCTTTACCTGCTAGGCAATTATACTCTAGTGGCACATTATTTTTGTGACTACATTCAGCTTGTTGTTTACATTTATCTCTAAACATAGCCAGCCAGTCTAGGTATTGTCCACCAGTAAGAATTGCTCTAGCTCGTTGTTTCCAATCTGTAGGACAGTTCATTTTTATGCTAATTGTTTTAACTAACTGTTGTGTAAACGGGCCTTGAAGGCCATCTTCCCTAACAGCTTCTCTCAAGTGTTTAAGAGTGTAATGTTCATGGGGAAACCATCTTAAGGGGCGTGCAGGATTTTGATTTAAATTTACAGGAAACATATTATTTCTTTTGATTTTCCATTGTTTTCAATTTTTTGCTTGACTATCTCTTATTTTATGTAATCCTTGGTAATAATCACCCCAGTATTGGAACGGTTTTATTTTAAAATCTCTTTTTGTATGATATTCATCCCATGGATTTCTAGGGTGTGATGTTATAGCATGGTAAGCAGGTGGCGCTGCAGGATAAGCCGGAGGCTTGTCCCAATCAAGTTTTGCCCTCATCATGGGGCAGGGCTTATTGTGTGATAAAGAGGGAGTGGCCTGGGGTGGAAAATTTTTATTTGGCGCCATCTTTGGTTCTTGTTTTAAGGAAGTGAGTGAGGGGTATATTTTGCGTGGCTTAGGCTGAGGGGTCAAGGGTTTTACATTATCTGGTTTGGGGCTTTTTTGGCATTTGGTTCAGATGGGAGGGGCACCGACAGGGAGAGATCTTTTTCAAGCTGTTCCATCAGGGAAGGCTTGGCATCTGGAGCTGCCGCCGCACAAGCAGCAGAGTCCGCTAGGAGAGAGAAGGTTTCTGAATCCTCCCCCGTAATGCTTTCCGAGCCTGTTAAGCAAGCTCTGATAGTAAGTAAGACCGGCTGGAGCCCTACGGGAAATATTTTTCTTTCCTGTTTTTCTGCCGTTTGGACCTGCCAGATAAGGAGGGACCATGTTTGTGGGACCCACAGATTAGCAGTTTTCAGCCAAGGATTAAAGGGAAGAAGAATCCCCCAGTACTCGGAGAGGGTCTTATAAGAAATTTTACAATGTCTAGCCTGTAAGAGAGCAGCATGTGCCCGTGCCTGCGGGTGCTGCTCCTTACTAAGCGCGGGGCCCATGATGTGGGCGGGGGGGGGGGCACGCAGGGTCCCTGTTCGGGCGCCACTTGAGGTTGAACCTCCTTGGGTCGAGGGACGTGGGCCGATGGTACGTGGCGATGGTGAAGAAAGAGGACACTGGACACCAGGCTGGTAGCGCAGATCCACTTTATTGGGGAAGTATTAGGCATTTTATAGGGCAGGCTAGAGGCGTGGCAATGGAGGCGGGTTAGGGGTGCAGTTTGGAAGCGGTACTTTTGGCTGGGGGCTGTGTGGAGCAAGAGGTCAGAGCGGGACAACTTAGGTGGAGCGTTACTCAGTTTGCTGAGGAGTCTGAGTTTCCTCAGACTCGCTTTTCCGCCACGGCCGTCAACCAGACCTCTGGACCTCTTTTTCCCACACCTCATCAGTGAAGTCATTTATGGGTGAGTTCCGTATCTGGATGTGCTGTTAGGATTGCGGGCCTGTTGGAGATGGGTTGCTAGAGGCAAGGCCTGGAAGAGTGTGTTCTCTTTTGCAGCACCTCCCATCTTTCCTCATTCCAGGGGGCATGGCTTGAGTTCCTTTTCCTTCACCGTGCCACTCTCCCATCGTGTTTCCCCCTTGGCTGTAGCAGACCATCCCTGCAGTTGAGGCAGTGTAAACTTCTCCTCCAAACTGTGGGCATTTGGTATTTTGTCTTAGTAACAGCAAAGTGCCTAAACCATCTAATTACGCTAAATTTGTTAAAAGTTTAGATACAGTGTCGCAAACATTCAAGTTATATCCTTCAGTCTGGATTTGATTGTGGTGACAGTAAATTCCAAAATTTCCAAACACTTCTGCACAATTCCAAAATTATCATAGAGTTTTTACAAATGGCATAAAAATTGGGAGAATTGTTTGACATTGCCTGTGAGAGGCTCAGAGTTGGGGACCTGGCCAAGGCTGCTTTGACTACTGTGTTATATCCAGAACAACGAAATAAATAAATAAATATTTCTTGTCATTTAGAGTGCCAAAAACTGGACAGGAAGTTCTCATTGTAAAGAAGGAAAGATGACAGTAATGCTGTAAAGGACGTTTTCTAGAAAGGGCTGACTTAAACCCAAACTTTGAATCTCCTTGAAGAAGGGCATCCCCAGGTGATATGTGAATGGGTGAAAAGATGGAAAAGCACCATCTCTCACGTAATTGCTGTAGTTCATGGATAGTTCGTAGACATTGTGTTATGAATGACATGCTAGCCAGATGTGCTGGCACATTCCTGAAATAACAACACTTGAGGAGATGAAACAGGATTACTAGGAGCTGAAATTCAGCCTGGCCTACAGAGTGAGTTAAAGGCCACTCTGAACTACAATGTGAGACCCTGTCTTTAATAAAAATGACAGCTTAATGAGGTAGGACAATGAGTAGAACCAAAATTTCAGCAACGGGAAAGCACTATATCGATAATTAGGGATGACATTGCATTCCGTCCCAGGGAGGTGACACCCAACACTGCACCCACCCAACAGGGCACCCAACACTGCACAGTCTAACCCAAAGAAGCTCACACATGCATCAAGAGGACCCGTCAGCCCTCCTGCTCACTGCACAGCATGGTGAGGCTGGGGCTGCGGGTACTGAGCCGGCAAAGGCAGGGCTCTGGCCACGGCGAGGTCGCCTCACTGGGACAGGGTGCTTAGGTTCTGGCAGATGTCCCGGCCCCGCCCAGAGGGTTAGAAAGGATAGAAACGCGCACCGTGACAGTTGACATAGGAACAATGATCAATCAGCTCATCCAGGAAGGCCCAGGTCCTGCCACAGCTCATTCTGCCCACTTCCAACCAGAAGTTAGGCATCCACAAGCCCCACTCCTACGTTGGGCCGTTTGGCCTTGCTTCATTGCCATTTGGAGGGCTGACGGTATCCCAGCACCTCCTCATGCAGTCACAGCCAGGAGAATTCATAAACCAAAGCGTGCTTAGCCAGACTGGGAGTCTCTCAGCAACATCCTGGGAGCTTCTGCCTTGAGTGGTTGACAGAGGATTGTTCCTGACTGGACAGTGCATACAACAGTGCATCTCATCATCAAGGGTGCTCTACATTTTGCTCCATGAGCCGACAGGGAGAAGGAAACCAGTACCATAGCTGCTGGATTACAGACCAAATGACAGACTCTAGACATAACCCTTTCCAACCCAGGCCACCTCCCTGGACACTGATTTCAGCCAGCCTGGTGGACATTGGATTGAAGCAGGATTTGCTCCTAGCTTTGTAGAGCTACTTGTGTCTCCTTACTATAGTCATGGGTTTCCTTTCTTGTTGTCACTGAATACAGGCTCACAACTGCCACCGAACTTCCAGAGTCAGTGTCAGAGTCAATGGAGAAAACCATTAAACCTAAAGAAGAATCTGGGTCCAGGAAAGGGCAGAACACAATGTAATAGAAAGAAAAGCTGAAGGTTGTCAGGGGAGCAGAAAATTAGGTGAGCCATTTAGTTCATGGAACAGACTTTCTTGAACCTTATCTATGCATTTTCAATAAGAAATATAATACAATTCCAAAAAGTGAATATAACTATTTAATAAATGAGGAAGCTGGGTATAATGTGACGACAGTATTATGGAAAGGAATCAAGGTGAAAGAAAATATTTAAAATGCCTCAGACAGGAAACTTAACTATTCCAAATTCACAACGAAATCCTGAATACTGAAGACTAATCTCAGCATGTGGGTTAGAGTAATACTTTCAGAATAGCCCCAGCCCTCAATCATTTCCCTATGATGAGGCAAGAACAGCTAAGAGCTTAACGGTAAATTCTTCGTAACGTGCTGTTCCTTTCACACAGATTGAAACCTTTCTTTTTCTGGAGTCATGTGATGGGTAGACTTATTGTCAAATGTACTGGCATGAGAGATGCCTAGGATATTAGTAAAGCACATGTCTGGGAGTGTCGGAGTAAGGCAAGGGGGTTGGACTTTAGTGATTGTGTCTGATCCCTGGCACCTTCAGCTCAGGCTCCTTCCCTAGTCTACAATTTCCACTGGAAGTTTGAAGAGTTGGTGCTGGGACCTTTAAGGACCTGGAGGTCAACATCCAAAGCAACGCCAGATACCAGAGCTCCTCCACATATATGAGGAGTCTTCCTTTCTTCCCTTTTATTCCCTCTCAGGTGCCAAACCTGTGTACGGTGGATTTTCTCTGCTTTCATTGTGTTCTACAAGCCAAGCATCCACAGACAAAAGCTTCATTAACTTGCTGGTGTTTCCTACTTAGCAAAGGGACATATCACAATTAATGATCACAAGGGGCTGGGGATTTAGCTCAGTGGCAAAAGCGCCCGCCTGGCAAGCGCAAGGTGGGGAGTTCGGTTCCCGGTACTGGAGAAAAAACTAAAAAAAAAAAAAACAACAACAAAAAAACAATTAATGATCACAAAGACCTAAATGAGTTTTTCTCTAAACATTCCCTTCAGGCAGGCACATATGCAGCTGAACTATATCCCTGGCCTAACATTCCCTTCACAAATGTCTTTCATACATACAAATTTTACTTGGAAGCCAGTAAATGCTTGTAAGTACAAAAGCAAACATCTTCCCGTAAAAGCCCTATGGCAATCAGAGTCACTTTCACAGAAGGAACAACTCACCAAACCATCTCTATATGAAACAGCTGCTTCCCAACACTCTGCAACTTGTCATAGTCAAGAATCCTTAAAAAAAAAAAAAAAAATAGAATAAAGAATCCTTAATGCTGAACATGGATTTAAAGCATGGGAATAATTTCTCCTTACAAAAAAACCAAAGACACCAAATTCATCTTTAAATGACAAGATTTGTGGAGAAGGACATTCTTTAATTTATCTTTCAATGTATTACTTGTTTGGAACTTAGGGCCCGACCAAGCCATATGATTGTTGGATCCTGGAGGAAGTCTAGCAAAAGCATTCCCATAAAAAGCAATGATAGCAGGACCTGTGTCCCTGTGGAAAGCCACTGAAATAACACTAGATGCTTTGCTGTGATATGCCCGAAGGGATGATAACACGGTGCATAACTAAGGCCAGTCTCACTCCTTGTAAAGGGAACAATCCAAGAGGAAGACATAACAATTGTAAATATATATGTAACAAATATCAGTGCAGCCAATCATATAAAGTAAATATTAATAAACATGAAAAATCAAATACACACTAATACAATTGTATTGGGGGATCTCAATACCCCACTGTCACAAAAAGACACATCAATTAGACAAAAAAAAATCAACAATGAAATATTAGAACTCAACCAAACTTTGGAACAAATGGATTTAGCACATGTCTATAGAGTATTCCATGCCACAACGTAAGAATACACATTCTTTCATCAGAATACATAGTTTAGTTTTGTGGGGTACATCGATCTGGGGTGAAGTTTGTGTTCTTTTAGAACTTGAAATACTTCATCCAAGCTCTCCTTGACTTGAGGGTTTGTGCTGAGAAGTCCGCTGTGATTCTGATGGGTTTTCATTACAGGTGCATGAGATGTTTTCCAAAACAGACCACATACTACCTCATAGGAACATGCTTAACAAATGTAAAGGAATGGAAATTATCCCATGCGTAGTATCACACCAGAGTGCAATTACATTGGAAATCAATAACAAAAGAAACCACAAGAAATTCATAAACACATGGAAATCAAATAACACCCTCCTGAACAAACAATGGGTCACAGTTGAAATTAAAGAAAAAATTAGACAGTTTTTACAATGAAATGATAATGACAATACAAGATACCCAAAACTTATGGGGCACAATGAAAACAGTCCTAAGAGGGAAATTTATAGTCGTGAACACCCGTTATCAGGAAAAGGCAGCAAGGGCAAACAAACAACTTAATGTTGAACCTCAAACTTTTAGACAAAGAAAAGCAGGCCAAGCACAACGTTCATACAAGAGAGGCAATTGTAAGGATCAGAACAGAAATTAATGCACTGGAGACTAGAAAAACCATACAAAGAATCAATCAATCAAAGACTTGGTTTTTTAAAAGATTAAATAAAGTGGACAAACCCTTAGTCAGCCTTATCAAAAAAAGGAAAGAAAAGACTCAAATA